TATGAATAAGAGGTGAAGAGGATTTGTTTCGGTGTTTTCTGTCTGTGTTGTTGTGGGAGCAGCTGTTTTTAGATCCGATCACTTCATTATCCTGGAAACAGGATAGTGTTTGTGCCCCTGTCTGTGTGTGTTTGGACAAAATAACTCAACAATGCATGGATGGATTTTCATCAAACTTGCTGGGAATGTGACCTGAGAGGGAATCTTTAGATGATTCACTTTTGGACCCGATTGCTCAAAGCTCGCATCAACAAAATATATTTAAAAACACACCTTTTCCGAGATATTAATGCAGATAATAAGGCTAGAGAGACGATCTAAAGCTCATATGGATCCGCATAATGATTCCCCACCTTGTGATAAGTGAAGAATGAAAAGGTATAATACTGCAGACACAACCTAAAGCTAATATAGATCGAAGAATAATTCATAATCATATAGTAAATATGAATAATGTCATGTTTGTGTTGTTTTTTGACGTTTTCACCAATGTCCCAGGGAAGAATCCAAGAATCTTGATGAAAAGAAAAATCCGGCACATTTATGATGTAATTGAATGTGTTGTGTGTTGAAATATCAGTTGTTTAATCTGAATTCACTCACACACAGACACTATCTTGAATCAACGCTGTGTTTGATTTGTGTTCAGGCTCTGCTGAACTGAAGGAGAGCTGAGGGGGGGGGATGTATGACAGTGACCTCCCTCTGGCCCTGACCCTCCTCCTCATTCATCTCTCTGCCTCCTGACAGGATTGATCTGTCTGATTACCCTGCAGGTATCCCACCGGTCCCTGTCCTCTCAGCATAAACAGCTGCGGGGCTCAGTCCTTGACTCTTATTGCAACATTAGCTGCTTATAATATTGGGCATCATGGCGTTTAAAGCCGGTCAAGACCTTGTGTGACCCCGGAGCCGCTGTGCACACCTTTCCTGTCTCCATCAGTGTCGTCGTTATTTAACTATTTTGCAGCTTTAAAATATAAAATATTAAACTTTAAAACAAATCTCCCCAGCAGCTGTAGAGAAACATTAGCATTGGTTCAGTGTTGCGTTTGGCTCCACCCGATGAAGTCCGATACTCGATCTCATTTTTAACTCTGTTTTGTTCTGCACCATTTAGCTGCTAAATGCTGAATGACAGAGCATTAGCTCGCCGCTAACTGTGTGTAGCAGCTGTTTGGTGCTGGGATGATGGAACTGCATGGTTTTCTAGTTGTACCACAGAAAATACAGCTTAAATACAGGCTACAGGAAATGGTGGCTGCTTTGACTCACTTTGCTTCGTCCTTTACTTTGTTGAAAGCTGAGATCATTTCCTGTTTTTGTACTTAGTACTTTAAATATATATAAATCCTTCTCTAAAGCTACAGGACCAAACACAATCTTATTTCTATATTTTGTGGGTCCAAAAGTCCAATTCCATGTTCCTCTGTCATGCTTGTCACCAGTGAAAGTGAAGGCAGTAATGAGATATAAAACTGGAACCACTGATGAGAATTGGTGTCAGAAATCCTGTCATGTCAGGTGAAGAAGCTGTGGACATCTTTCTGTCCAACTGACCACGAGTAAAAACTGAATCTTAGAGTTTTACAGAAGGATTTTGTGCCACTCGTAGCTAAACAACAGCTCTAATCTACAACACGTCTAATAAGAGAGGACGTTCCTCTTTTTAAAACGTGTGATTCGAGCTGCTAACACGGGCGCATTGTTACCTGAAGTGTAACGGGGGTGCAGAGGAGCAGGGAGGCGGGTGCCACGCTCTTGCTGACAAGTCGTCCTGCAGACCGAGAGGAGACGAGGCCCCTGGAGGAGGCAGATCTGAGAGTTAATGATCTTTCTGTATGCAAAGGCCACGGTTCAAAAGGCACTGGGTTGATAGGAAGTGGCAAAACCCCATTAACTCCATGACAGAGTCTGCCTCGAGTAATATGCTCTCTTCCGCTCTCTCTCTCTCTCCTCTCTGGCTCGCTCCATTCTCTCCGTTTCCTGTCGTCCGTCTCTCACTCTGGTCTTCTCCTTTTCCTCTTCTTCATCATTTCTTCTTCCATCTTCCTCACTTTCATTTGTCCAACTCCTGTTCTCTGACGCCTCAGGATTTTTTATATTTTTTTTTTACATTTCTTCACCTGTTTCTCATTTTAGTTTTTTTGTATCTCTCAGTGTTTATAAAATGTTCATTTCTGTGGATTACATTCACACCAATTACACGACTGACTTGACAATTGACCATTTTCTAAGCTCTACACTCGCTCGGTTACTTGTGTTCGATCAAACTTTCCATGCACAACACAGGTTGCAGGTTACAGGTTACATTCTCCAGTTTTCCACTTGACGTGTGCAACTTTTTAAATCTTTTTGTCTTCAGTCTCCCACAGAATTAAACCACCTCGGGCTAAAAATTAGGAACAGTTAGCTATTGTAAGCTAATGCTAATATTCCCTCACTGTATACGAATGATAACGGCCCCCTGGTGGCTGACTCTAGTATAGCTCATAAACCCTGCCTCCTCCATGTTAGTGGATGGAACATGGACGAATACTATTTATTTGATGCTAAAGAAAACAGCGTGAAATATCATGATTAACAGCTGAGACTGACTCTCCTTTAGTTGAGCACATTTTTCTGCAGAATCCTAAATGAAGTCTTTGTGGCAAGATGGCCGCGTTCGTATCAAGGACATTTTGGCTTCATTTCTGGACAGTTACTCGGAGTCCTTCATCCCTACGGACTGAAAGTCTGGATTACTGATCCATGGAACACGTGGAAATAAAAGCCCAGCATGAATTCCAGGCTTCAGTTCTCAGCCTTCATGTTTGTACAGTTTTATTTACGGAGATGTCATTAAAATGTTGTTTGTTTCAACGTTATCTTACTCTTTTCACTTTTGTTTGCATTTTCAAACGCAGCTTCAGTTTTAGTTGAAAGAGTTAAGCTGACGACAGACGATCAAACCATGTTGCGCTCCTGCTGTTCGGCTGCTGTTGATGTTTTTGTGACGTTCTAGACTGAATTATATTGTGAGACGTTTTGTTCTGCTTGTTCACGCAGTCAGGAGACAGAGGTCAGAGGAGCCGCAGGTTTTTAAAGCCTGTTTTAGTTTCACACTCTTGCCCCTCTCTACAGTCTCGTCATAAGAACTGGATGATTCATTCATTTTAAAATCTCCAGCCATTGAACGCACAGCCTGGAGGATCGATTTGAACTTTGTTGGACAGCTCCTGAAGCTTAATTTATGGGCTGTATGTCATAGAACAGACACAGAGACACAGTCTAGAAGAGACTCAGACACAGCAGGATGTGTCAGAGGCAAAGACTCTGGACTTTCTGCCATTTCGTCCCTGTCATACCTGAGAGCTTCAAAATGCCACCTACTGCATGAATATAAATCATCAGAGAGAGACAGTGAGCGTTTGTAGCTCCGGATTGTTGCCATGCTAACGACTGTGCCGCTGTGCCACTCCACTACCTGTCAACTCATTAGTTCCTTTATTCATTTATGCCTTTAAAAACCACTTGACGGATACAGATACACAACACACCCCTCTGAACACACACTTTCAGCTATAATCAATTAAGTGTCAACAACCCACAGCTTCGACGTCCAACCCCAAAGCTGACGAGAGGAAAAGACGATAAAGGGACCAGGGGGAGAGACGCCTCCCGAAAAACTAGCATCTCTCTGAATTAAGGCGTCAAACTGTGGAAGTGTTTCTTCAGGTAATTCAAAGAGAGAGAAAGTTTTAACAATAGAATATAATTTTAAAGATGATGGTTATGAATATTAGTGATTAGCATTTAATCACATCTGGATATTTGGTTAAAAGATGAATTTAATCTACAAGAGAACAAACTCACCTGAGCAACACTGGAGGAAAAGTGCTGAACTGGCGCCACCTATTGGACAAACACAACTACCACAAGGTGCAGCCTACACTTGACTTGTGTTTCCACTTCTATACTTTTACTTCTTTTACAACAACACAGTACACAAAATATTCAATTTTACACACTTCCTTATTGTTATATAATGTGTGTATTGAATTTTCAGCATCCTCTACTATTGTATTTGTATATTGAGGCTTTTTACTTCATTCAAAATGTCCTCTTTCTTTTTGCATAATTTGATTTAAAATACTTAATGTACTTTTATTTAGTCTAAAATCCTCTCTCTCGGGCACTTCTGGGTTCATGGAGCAAATAAATCATTTAAGAGCTTCAGGGATGTTCTAGGAGTATAGGAGGTGGCCTGGATCCAGGAGGTCATTATTAGAATTATTAGTATTAGTATTATTATATTTTCTGTTTTGTATTTTCACATTTCTTTCATTAAAGAGAGGATCCCCTCGATGTAAATATAAAGTATTTAAACATAAAGGGTCTTTTCTGGGGTGAAGAAAACTACAATTCATACAATTTATAAGAAACGAACTAGTGAAAACATCATGAGGATTATTCTACATTTAATTTCTGCCAACAGTTCCCTCTGACCTAAATCTTACACACTGGACCATTAAGAAATAAAACAATGACCCAAAAATACACATACAACTATATTAATGCGGAACTAAATAAGCAAATACACAAATGCAAATCTATGTAAACATTAAACCACATCCTCTTCATAATCCTTCAGCTGCAGGTTACGTTATTTGAAATGTATTGAATGAATTCATCTTTGTCACAGGGTCATGTTTCTTCATGGTTCATCATCACACCTGACCTCGAATTATGCGGAAAAGCAAGTTTGAACAACCTGCATTTCACTTCCTAGTGTGTAGTTCTTCTTCTCACACACACACACACACACACACACACACACACACACACACACACACACTCTCTATAGCCGGTTCTGCTGCGGGACCGTGGCGGTGGTTTTGGCACCAGATTACGCGGATCACGTCGCCTGAGCAGATCCGCTACCTGAGGCGCGTCAGCACCGGACTGTGTCTTAAAGAGGAGGGAGGAAGTGATTTCAAACTTTATCCGGAGGCCTTTCAGATTCAGATGCTGTTGAATCGGAGCTGATTCCCCTGACACCGAGAGCGCAGCGCCAACCTGTGCGCACTTGTCCGCAGCCAGGAGAGGGGGAGTCGTGTCTGAGGAGGAGACACACCTTTACCTTTCCTGGTTCTCCCCACCCCCCTTTCTCGCTCTCTCTCTCTCCCTCCCTCCTTCTCTCCCTCTCTCTCTCTCTCTCTCCCTGGAAGCGGAGGAATAATCGATCTGACATGTCGGTAAACGAGAGAGCCACCCGAGCGTTGAGGGAGATCCTGCAAAACCCTGGAAATGACTCCTGTGCGGACTGTGGCGCACCGGGTAGGTCGATTCAAACATGTCTTCTACTGTAGAATGTGGAGCAGCTGAGATGAAAGATTTGGGGGGGGTGCCATGTTGGTAAAGTAGGTCTGATCCCTCAAACAAAACCATGTCCATGCGCTTCTTTAAACCTCTCAACAGTCGCAGCTCCAAGTGTTGGATGAGTTTGGAGCGTATACGTGTCAGAGCCTCGTCTTTGTGTTTTCTGGTTCTTGAGGTGAAAAGTGGGACAAGGTGAGCAGTCAGAGGGAGGAGCCTGCAGGTCAGGGCTTCAGCTCTTTGCTCTGAGATGTTGAAGCTGCCACAGAAGAAGCTTCTCAGCAGGTTTCAACATGTCAGAGCTGCACACACCCTCAGCTGAGAGGCCCTGGACGCTTCTCCCACCTCTGAACAGTTCAGTGTAGAGGACTGAGTGAAGAGCCTGACTTTGAATCCTTTAGCCTTATTTATGTATATATATAATCACATACATTTAATTTGTGGCCAAAGCTGCTATAACAAACCACTGTTTGTAGTTTAGCTATGCTTTTTTTTACAGTTGTTATGATTTTGTAGCTGCATATTTTACTCAAATGGAATAACAACATGAGAATGGACATTTTTTTAAATTCCCAAATAGATTTGCTCTCAGTAGAACCCCGTGAATATGTCTTTCCTCAAAATCCATGAAGTGTTCCTTTGGGAGTTTGCGTGAAAATCAAATCCCTGGATCTGTTAGAAGACTTTGTGTTGCTGCTGTGGACGAACAGATTTAAAAGCTCATTTGTCCCGCTCCTCTTTCATCAGCCTTTTCAATGAGTTTGTATATTGTATTTATGAGTATTTACAGTCAGATAAATGTCTTGTCTTGGACACCTTGCAAGTCTGTCCTGCCAAAGATATCACAACTGATGTGTTATCCAAATACGAGCAAGCTGCTTAGTCTCTATTTTTATTAAAAACTGTTAGAAAATGTGTTTCTACATTAAATGTTCACACTTATGTTTCACCAAGGGTCATTATTATGACATATTTTATAATGATCCTGCAGCAAAAGCTGTTTTATACCAACATACCACCTTTAAAAGCAGCCTGTGCCTTTTTCAACTGCTCAGAATCTCTGTTTTAACCTTTGACTCTATGCTGACCGAGGAGCGCTGTGTTTGTTTCTGCTTTAAGGGGCAGTCGACCCTCGTGCATGGTCTCATACAGTGAATTTCATTTTATTGTGTTGCAGTCAAATCAGGAAATCAGAGAATCCAGGCCCCAGGGCCTCGTGTCTCTGCAGTTGAGCAACGGATGTAATAACCTTTGAAAGTCAGGCCCTGCCCCCATCTGATAAATAACGATTAATGTCAGGAAGGTTTTTCGTGCACGCTAAAACTAAAGTAGCTTTTCGATTCAGCTTCTTCAGTCACATTGAGGCTCAAACCAACCCATCCTCGTGGTCAGAGAAGAATGAGACTCACTCTGTTTTTGTTTACTTACAGTATTTGTAATATTGTTCGATCCCCACGTCCTCTCCCTACATACCCACGACACACAAACTCCCATTTTATCCATGTGTCCTCTCCATCTTCCTCTCTGCAGATCCAGGGTGGGGCTCCTGCTCTCTAGGCGTGTTCATCTGTCTGGCCTGCTCGGGGATCCATCGCAACATCCCAGAAATCAGCAAAGTCAAGTCCCTGAGCCTGTCGCGCTGGGAGGACCACGAGATGCAGGTGAGACCGGCTGCTGTGTGGATTTTTACATTTAAGATCGTTAAAGTCTTATCAGTAACATTTCACTGGTTTAAAGGTTTGTGATCGATATTTAAACATTGATGATGATCAGTTTGTTTCCTTAACGACCAGGAAAGGTATTGAACCTCTGTGCAGCAACTTTTTATGAGCACAAGACAAAATGTGTTTTATATGATCTTCCGGCAAAAGTTACAAAAGTTACGAAGAAAAAATACAATTACAATTTCCGGTAAAATTTTAATTTTCTAGAATTACAACTTTCATGTCAAGTTCATGACATTTGGACTTTTTGTACATTTGTATAGTTTGTTTTTGTACCTTAAAGTAAAGTTTCTTGGATTTCGAGGACACTTGTCTCTGAGTTTAAATACATGTTCGATGCCACTTTATTTTAAAGTGCTTTCAGCGTGAAAAGGAAAGATTTTGCGTAACTCAACCACACAGTGATTTTTTTACAGCATAGATACAATTCATAAAAATAGAGGAACACAAAGCTGATGATTTGTATCCTGCTACTTGAAGCAGAAAATGATTCTCATCCATCACAGTCAAGTCAAGTTTCAGACAGACGAGGTATTCTCTCATGGAAACACATATTAGTACTTTATGTTTTGGGTTGTTTGTCTGACTAACTACGTTTGTGGATTTTAGAGTTAAAAACATATAATTTTCCATTTTGGATTTCTTTTTTTTTTTTGTGTATTACTGATGTTAGAACATCACATTCCTGCCAAGTCCCAGTGTTCCTGCAGCTGAGAGAGTGATTCCCAGAAATGAAATGATAAATGATGTTGGTACCATGCACGTCTTTATCCAAACATATTTGTTGCATTCATCATTCGAACTCTCTGATTTATACGTTTCTTGTGTAACGTCTGTAAGGATTTTATTTCTGTTGAGCCTTTTCTCCTGCTGGGATGATAACGATCTATAAAACTGTCAGGTTACGTGACATGGTGACATTCATCCTGTTAATCTGTGTGTGTGTGTGTGTGTGTGTTTAGTTCATGGCTGAGAATGGTAATGAGCTGATGAAGAGTAAATATGAGGCTGCTGTTCCCGTCTACTACTACAAACCAACGCACAAAGACTGTCAGTGAGTAACACACACACACACACACAGAGACACATATAAAAATCATACACGCTGTCCAAAAATCTCTATTTATACAATTTATACTTTATACATATTTATATATGTGTATGATATTCAAAAGTGTGTACCACCAGAAGTCGGTATCTGTTTCACCTGCGATGTTTTAGCTTCATTTTTGTGCAGCAGCAGGAAGTGAAGACACGTTGTGCATATTTATTTACTGTGTGTTAAGAAGCAGTTTGTCTCTCAGAGAGAATCACTGATGTGTTCCAGTTATTGTCTGGTGTTTCACCTGCAGACACACTTCAACTGCCTCATTGTCATCATGTGTCTATCACACACTGCGAGGTATTGTGTTACTGTAGCTTCAGCAGACCGCGACCCGACAGGAACCATGACTGTGACGATAACAAGTTTTTGTAAAGGGACCAACCGTCTCAGGTGTCATGGACTGAAAATATGAAAAACTTCCACTGCCGACAGTTACCCACTGACTGACGAGGTCTAATCCTGGAAAAGTTACCGAGAGCAGACTTCACTCTGAAAATATACAACGGATACATCCCACCTCCTCCCATCGACCCCCTCGGTGAAGCTACGCGCCCAAAACGCATGAACGCTCACTGACAGAAAACTTCTAGAAGTCGACTTTTCTGTGATTCGCTTGCTAACTTCTGACTCTGCCCTCGTCTTCAGTGGTGTTGGAGTCTCCGGCTGAAGACCCACAGGCAGGGTGAGAACAGGCAGGCAGGTCGGTTAGTGACGGAGAGGTGCACCAGCAAATCTTTTAATTCCGTCTGAATCCAATGATTGGTCGTGTTTATTACGAACCTGTGAGGACGCCGGAATTTCCCTTTTTCTTTTGGGATGACTTGAAGAGGGTTTCAACAAATAAGATAAAAATGTTTTCAGAAATAAACAATCAACCGTATCTGTAAGAGCGAGCACTAGAAAATCTATTGTGTGTGAATGGAAGCAGGAGCTCGCTGCCATAGCTGTGAAAGTTTGTCTGAGGACAGCTTGGATCTACATATGCCCTTCACACACACAGACACACACAGAAACACACAGACAGACACACACAGACACAGACACATATCACGTATTTAAACACCCTTCGATCTGTCTTTGATCATCAAAGGAAGGAGGTTGAGAGAGAGGAGACACTGAGACCTGATCTCTTCTGACTTCTGTGAATAAAGGAAGTTGAATCAGCTGGATTCAACTTGATCCTTCAGATTTTCGGTGACTTTCAGTGTCAAACATTAACTCAGAAAATGATATGAAAGGCTCACACCTGATATTATCAGCCAACTGAAAAATAAGATAAGATAAAACTTTTTTAATCATAGAGGACTGTGCCAGTTTGATTACACCATATCTGATGTAGTACCGAAAATAAAACAACAGACCGTTACGCCTAAAAGTTCTATTTGATACTTGTGTTGGAATATGGAAGAAATTTGAGAGTCGAGACTTGAACTAAATGTTATTTTAAATGACACACTTTGATAAAAAAGTGTTATAGTCTTGAAAATGTGTAAAAAGGTTTATACTTGTCAGGAAACGAAATAAATATTCTCCAGACAGTCTATCTCTGTGTTTTAATGCAGAGACGTGCGTTAAGTTTGTGTTGCAAGCAGCTCTGCTTAACCTGTCCTCTTTGTGTGTGTGTGTGTGTG